TTCCGGCCGCTGCTGGTCAGTTTCAGCAGCGGCTGATTCAGGACACCTGGGGCAGAGCAGATGGGGTGCTGCTGGGTTGCTCCAGTAGTGCCGAGGAGCGGCGCTACTGGAGCAACCCAGCAGCTCTGCCCCAGGCGTCCCCAAGTCAGCTTCTGCTGAAACTGACCAGCGCTGACTACAGGAAGCCCGAAGCAGAGTTGCTCTGCCCCGGCTTCCTGGAATCAGCTGCTGATCAGTTTCAGCAGCAGCTGACTTTGGGACGCCTGGGGTTCTTAAGTTGATTCTGTATGTAAGTCAGAACTGGCGGTCAGTTTCAGCAGCGGCAATCTGGACGCCAGTTCCAACTTACATACAGATTCAACTTAAGAACAAACCTACAGTCCCTATCTTGTACGTAACCCGGGGACTGCCTGTACTCTGAGGTAACCAGTCAGGGTGATGCAAACTGTCTCCCTTATCTCAAGACAGACAAACCAATTGTGATTTATATGTGGTGAAAGGAGTCTAATGTTCCTCTTCTTTTTGTGTGTCGTGTGGGTTCACATGCAGTGCATATTCACTTGTCTGTTGTAGATTGGGAAGCAGGGTGAAGAAATACAGTTTCACCAGCATGCAGTGTCTAGACTGTCAGAGGTCCCACTGGTGATTGTGGGGAAGACTGGGAATCACTCGAGTTCTTTTGCAGTGTATGAATCTTTAATTAGAGTGGTCTCCTATTTTATCCTACCTATCATTTGTTAGAATTGTAATAATTTTTTTAAAAGTTAATAGTTTACTCATCGCAAATGTTGTTTATGGCAAAAATCTTTTTAGGAAGAAACTCCAGATCAGAGGAAACAGAGGGGACGCTCATGGAAGGCCTCAGGCTTCATAGGCCCTAAGTGGAGGTATCTATAGAAGGTGTTCCATCAGTCTCTAGGGTTTTATTAAATGTGATGTGAACATGACTCTTGCTCTAAGATGGCAGGTTTTTTTTCCTTGTGTTTGTAAAGACATATTAACATGGTTGCAGTGGACAACTCTTTATACAGTATGTTGATGTATTTAAGATGTACAGTAGAACCTCAGTGTTATGAACACCACAGTTATGAACTGACCAGTCAACCACACATCTCTTTCAGTACCTGAAGGTTGTCATTAGGTAACATAGGGATGTAAGCGACTAGTCGAATAGTGACTCCACTAGTCACTCCCTTCCCCCCACCTCTCCTTGCTGCTGGTCTCTGATAGGGGCAGCAAGGGAGGGAGCAGGATCCAGTTATCGTGGGGAGGGGAGAGGAGAGCTGTCTTAAAAGCCAGTTCCCCCCAGCACCATCTCCATGGGGAGAAGGGTCAGGGCACAATGGGGAACTGGTGGCACTTCTGCCTTTGAAATTTAGCAAGAGCTGGGCTCTTGCTACATTTCAAAAGCAAAGCACTGCATGGAATGCGTGGCCAGCGAGGGACTCAAAACAGGCAGGGCTCTTGCTACATTTCAGAGGCAAAGGTGTCATCATCAACTAATCAATAGTCGATGCAAATTACATCAACTATTCCATTACTTGATTAATCTAAATGTAACATCCTTAAGACGGCAGCAGCAGACTCCTTCTCCTTCCCCTCCAAAAAAGCAAATAAGTACTGTTAAACTACTAAAAATTAAAGGGAAAGCATTATTTTTTTTAGCATAGTAAAGTTTCAAAACTTATTAAATCAGTGTGTAGTTGTAAACTTTTGAAAGAATCTCAGTGTTTTGTTCAGAATTATGAACATTTCAGAATTTCAAACATCCTCCTTTGTGAGGTGTTTGCATCTCTGAGGGTATGTCTAGACTACATGGTTCTGGCAACAGAGGCATGTAGATTAGTTTACTAGACATACCCAAACGAAGCGGCGATTTAAATAATTGCTGCTTCATTTAAATTTAAATGGCTGCCGCACTGAGCCGATCAGCTCTTTTGTCATCTTAGCGCGGTAGTCTGGACGCTCCGTGGTCGACATCAAAGGCATTTGTTGACCTCCCCAATATGCCTCGTGGGATGAGGTTTACGGAGGAGGTCAACAGATGCCTTTGATGTCGACTGTGGTGCATCCAGACTACCGCGCTGAGCTGACAAACAGCTGATTGGCTCAGTGCAGCAGCCGTTTAAATTTAAATGAAGCGGCAATTATTTAAATCGACGCTTCATTTGGGTATGTCTAGTAAACTAATCTACATGCCTCTGTCGCCAGAGGCATGTAGTCTAGACATACCCTGAGGTTGTCTTGTACCTTTTTCTAGAGTGGTATACATGATCCTGTAAGATTTAAGAGTGGCTTGATCTTTTACTCCAGCGTGGTTGAAATAATTGTTAAATCTTATATATAATCTATTTTCCACAACATTTGCAAGAGGGTGGAAAGTCTCATGTGACTAGTAAATAATTCAGTAAGTAACAGAGTGCTATTATGTTAATATCTTATCCAGAAGACTTCTGATACACTAAGAGAAAATTTAAAAAACAACAACAAAAAACAGTAAGAGGTCAAGAAAAATGCCATCATGGCAAAGCAGCCTAGGTAAAAAGTGGTTAGAAGAAAGGCATCCTTGAAAACTTAGAAAACAGATCCTAGTGAGAAAAGTAGAAAGGAGTATAAACTCTGTCAAGTCATGTGTAAAAGTAGAATAAGGCAGGCTAAAATAGAACTTGAAGAAGAATTAGATAAGGATACGGAAACTAGCAGCAAAAAAGTACATCAAAAGCAGTACACCCTATCACTTCTGTAGAATACAACCAACTATAGATGGAGTATGTTAGAATTTTCTGAGGATATTTTTTCATAGAACTTTCCAACTGAAAACAGTTCATAAATTACTTAGTCTTCCTTCTAGATTTCCTGTCTAATGTTCTACTCTTTATTGAGTTTAGGGAGAACAACAATGCCGAAAGGATATTTAATCTAATGCCAGAGAAAAATGCACACTCCTATTGCACAATGATCAGAGGAATGGTGAAGGTACAGTTATTTTCAGAGGATATGAGGGTTTTTTTTGGCTTTTTCCCCCAGTTTACTGTGTCACTGTCTGTAACATATTTTTGTCTTCTCAGCATGGGGCTTGCGTGAGGGCTCATGATATGTATGTAGATTTGCTGAATGACAGGCACACCGGTGAGTGTCTTTCTCTTATTTTTCAGTAATAGTTGACAGATGTAAAATACCATCTTTTGTTACTTAAAATCCAGTCTTCTGGAAAGTTTTGCAAAATATTCTAATTTTGTTTAGCTATTTGTTCTTCCTTGGCAATGATGATTGGCGCAGGGGTACAGACCTCAGCTAAGCCATGGGAGCTGAATGTGAACTCTGCTTTTTTTCCAGTGTGACAGACATGTGGTCAGTTGCCTGGAATCAAGTTCACATGAAAACTTTGCCTAGCGCTGAGCCATATTTGCAATAAGCAATAAACTCCTATATAAAGATGCACATGTTAGTAAAATACAACTGTTAATTGAAATGGATTTTCTTATTTCTTCCAGCTGATGTGTACACCTTCAATGCACTAATTTCAGCAGTTCCACAAGTGAAGGAAAATTACACTGAAAGATGGGAACTTGTTAAAGTAAGGAGAAAGGGATGAGGGAAGGAAGAGGCTGGTTTTGTTTGGAGTAAATGAAAGTGTGTTTTCAATAATTAAAGAAAAAAAACTTTTTTGCTAATTTAATCAGTAACTTCAAAGAAAGCACTGCAGTTTAATACTAAAATTTGGACAACGATGGCTCAGAAATCCTTATATTGCTTTGAGATGGATTTGTGTGTCCTCTAGGAGATAGCCAATCAGAATGGCTATGAAATTAAGATAGAATGTGAGCAAGCCTTCTAATCGAGTTCTGCACTGAATTTTGTCTACAAATGTAGGAAAGTTTTAAAAGCCATGGAGTGAGATTAAATTATTTGGGATAATGTAAGAGGGTCTGACTGCAAGTTAAGGGGATGACATCCAAAAGAAAAATTACGATGAGTATCAGAAAATCTTCTTAGCTGAGATCTCTTACATTAGAATAGTCACCCAAGAACATTTGTTGCAGCCCCATAATTTAGGAAATGCAAACTAAGACTGGATAATGGGCTAACAAGTGTAGTTTGGGGAGCAGTCATCCACTGGCAGAGGAACAGAAATATAAAAGACAGAAGAAGCACCAGCAATTCTATAGAAGTGCTGAATTGTAGTGAGTAAAACGCAAAGCAGTGTGATTTAATCTGTCCCTTTTTTGTATAGGAGTTGCTGAATCACATGGTTGAACAGAAGGTGCAGCCAAATCTATTAACTTTTAATGCTGTTTTGAAAACCCTGAGGAAATGTGGAAATATGGCCAAGGGTCTCTCCCTTAGAGTACTGAGGGAAATGAAAGCACTTGACATAGGTAAGAGAGAGCCCTAGATTCACTCAGATATTCCTAATATGGTACTTCCAAATAGCAAACCTGAGGGTGATGGCTAGAGGAGTTTTGAGAGAGGGCATAATTTACTAATACCTGTCTCTTACATGAAGTTTTTCCTCCATTGATCTCAGTGTTTTACAAAGGAGGTGAGTGTCAAGGATGTGAAAGACTTACTGGAATGCTTACTGGGTAATAGGTTGGACAGCCAACTGCGCTAGGCTGGAGCAGCCTGGCTGAGTCTGGCCAGCTATTTGGGAGTAGCAGGCAGGGCTGTGCCTGCGTCAGGTCCTTGACCACACCAGAGCAGCCTGGGTGTGCAGGCAAGACCCCCAGCCATGCTGGGCCAGTAGGCAGGACCTCGGCTACACTAACGCAGCCTTGGCTGTGCCAGAGCAGGGCAGCTGGGGCCCTGGCTGCACTGGAGTGGCCCAGGTTGGCAGAACCACTGCCCCAGTTTCTCCAACTCTGCTTGGGACTATGGGACCCCAGCCTCTCCAACTCAGCCTGGGTGGGCGGGAGGGAATCTGGCCTCAGCTGCCTTCCCACATAAGTACTTAGAGTAGAATGTGTGACCTCTGAACCTTTTCTTAGATAAACTATAAATAGATAACAGCTAAGTGAATCTAATTTAAAAAAAAAAAAAAAAAAAAAAAAGCAGAAGCAGCATTAGTTCTTGTTTACTGGTATTATGGTAGTAAGAAAAAGGCACAATGAGAGAGACCTGCTCAAAGCTGAAGCTAGATGCATTTTATTTCTAGCTTAAATGTATGCTCAACATTGCGGGTATTACACATTAACAGTTTTTCCAGCGAGGTGCAATAAAGTCTTTAAGTCAAGACTGGATGTCTTTCTGAAGAAGACACTCTAGATTAATCAGAAATTATGGGTTTATATGCAGTAATTACTGAATGAAAATCTTATGTTGTTTTGTAAGGCATCAGATTAGATGAACAGTGGTCCTTGCGGATTTTAATCTATGAAGATTTGTACATCTGTAATGTGTAACAGAGTTCCATGTGTGGCAGGAAGCGCCAAATGGACTGTTAACTGCACAATTTCTAAATATGGCTTTTTTTACTCCACTGATATAAGAGAAAATAATATGGCTAATAGCATCTTTGGTGTCCTGTTAATTTTATTTATTTTCAGTCTTTGAGAAACCTTTGCTATTAATACATTTTTAGAAGATGTACAGGTATTAATAGACAAAATATGAAACTCCTTTGTACAGTGTTTTTTTTGCTATTACTTTAAAATTCAATTGTAAAGCTTTGCCTAGCTCCATCTATCAAGCTGACATCAGTATCTTTATACGTTTCAGAACCCAGCCTTGCAACATTTGAACACCTCCTTGCTATATTTCATAAATCCGGTATGTAACAATATAAACATGCTCTGTCTCTTAGGGCTGGTCTGCACTAGAGCTGTGAGTCAGTCTAGCAAGTTGCGTGAAGGAAGTCGACATAATTAAGGTTGACTTACAGTGGTATCTACTCTGTGCTGTGTCAACTAGAAATACTTCTGTCAACATAGCTTCTGCCTCTCGGAAAGATGGAAAGCGAGTGGGAGAGCGCTCTCCCTTCGACAGTGTGTCTTCACCAAACCTGCAAAATGTACACCGCTGCCTTCGTGGCAGCAGTGCTGATTTAGCTGTAGTGCAGAACTGGCGTTCGAGGCAAATGAACTGTTCCAGGTGCCTAGAAGCAGCTTGAATGAAAGCAGCAATTTGGTGGTTTGAAAGTCCTTTCACCCCATGCAACTATCTTGCGAGGATAATGCATGTTGCCACTGAAGGGGGCTTTTGTCCTGTGAGAAGGGAAATTTCTTCTCTCTTGCAAACTTGTCTGTGGTTGAGTGCGCTAGATTTTGGGTGTTCATCCCATCACCCACAGGCAAATCCCTTGTCCTTGAGGCCTCTTTGCTTGGTCTTTGGGTAAGTCTCTTGATTCAGTCTTTTAGGAAGTGTCTACATTTCTGAAGCTGTCCTGTTGTGCTCTGTAAATTCATTATCAATTGGGGAACTTTTAATGGTGAGTGGGAGAAAGAAGAACTGTTGTTTGCGCTGCGTTCAATATCCCATGAATACCTGGTTCCATTTCCATGGTGCTCTTGCTAGACATACCTTGTCAGTCAACTGTATAACATAATGGAGATATATTAGTTGCATTATGATTCTCATGTGGCCATATCTACCCCAGGTTCAATGGAAATCCTCTATGAGGTGATGGATGAAATTGAAGGAAAGACTTTTGTTGCTCAGGATCCAGAAGATGGTAAGTTGTTTGGTAGATTTAACAAGTTGCTCTCTCTTAATATGATGTCATATCTGATAGAATAATCATGGGTGAGCTGTCCAGGGAATTGCAAATAAGTCCAGCAGGCATAGATAAATCAAGTGTATCCTGAGCTTTAAGCTTAATAATTTGTCCACCTCTGACTAAATATAGAACAGGATTTGTTGTTGGAGTAGAGCTCAAAACACCAGCTGACTTGAAGGTGCTCCCGAGTAATGACACAGCATTTCCTTTCTTGGAGTATCGTATCGAGAGGAGCAAGTGGTGGAACAGTACCACGCACTTCTGCAGGAGAACGTCTCCTAGCATGTCCAGAAAGTCAGTGTATTTCTTGATATCTGTTGCGTTCTGATTGTAGAACTTTGTGACTCGTTCTAGACTCCTTGTTCTGGTCTAAAAATTGTATGAAATAAAACTTAATGGAAAACAATACTTCAAACAACTCTATTCTGTGGTAGGGGTGGAAGGGCAAAGATTCAGAATGTCCCACATGTCTTGTTGCTATTGCTCTGCTCGGAAAATTTGATCAGTGAATGGAAATGTCAGTGTGGCATGTACGTAGATGGGTTGAACAGACTAATTCTAAAATTAGATTTTGAAGTATGACTGTAGAAAATAAGCTAGTATTTTAATATATTTGTTTCAACAAGTCTGTTTCTGACATACGGATTGTTAGATGGTTGATGATCCACAGGGCTACTGTGCTAGAAACTTTAGCTTTCCAGAGTGAAGAACCTGCAGATGATCTCCCATTTTCTTCTTAGTCTTAGAGCTGATCTTCCCTAGAAAATTGGATCGGCCCAGCTACATCACTTGGGGTGAAAAACCCACATCCTTGAGCAGCATAGCTAAACTGACCATGTAGACTGTGCTAGGTTGATAGAAAAATTCTTTCAGCAATCTAGCTACCACCTGTCAGGCAGGTGGATTACTTGCACCAATGGGAGAACATCTCCCATCAGCACAGGTAGAGTCTACACTGAAGTACCACAACAATGCAGCTGCAGTGTATTAAGTGTAGACAAGCCCTTACTGTTCTACATTATAATTTTGGCCTTTCTACTGGTTACTCACCCCTTCCCGCTTCCTGCACTGCTGTTTCACAGCAGCTCTGTACCTTGGGAACTTATTCATTTGAGACATGGTATGGAGGCTGAATGAAATGCTAGTAGTGATTACTGAAAGAAAAGCCCATTTAGCTGAACACAGCTAGCACTTTGCTGGTTCTTCCACACTGCTCTTAAAGTTCCTTTGGAGTCACAAAAGAAATGTCACTTTTGAATAAGGCGATGATGATTGGCGCAGGGGTACGGACCTCAGCTGAATCATGGGAGCTGAATGTAAATGTTTCTCTGCCCTGCATGTTGTCAGGCAGCTGAGAATATTTGCATGAAATTTGTGCCTAGTCTGAGCCGCTTAAATTAAAACACGACACATCTTCAGTGCATACTATTTCTCAGCTTACTTTTGGAGATTTGTGACCATTCCTCTGAACTTCACACTTTCACTTTCTTGCCCCTTTTGAGTGTGTCGCAGTGTGTGTTACTTGTAAACCACGCACCACATTAAAATGGTCTCTACAAGATCTTGACTTTGTATCCCAAAGGATTTTTAGTTTATAAGGCAGAGATTTGGTGGATGTTCTAAATATTTTAATAGCAGGGTGGTACTTCTCTATTCAAAAAAAGGATCTTTGCTCTTTATTGCCTTGCCACAATGAGCCCAATACAACTCCCAAAGTTGCTTCTTAGATTTTTTTCATCCATATTTCTGTCCACATTCAGTCACTACCTGAATTTAGGGAACAAGCTGCACACGCTCTTACATTAAACTTGTTTTTAAAAATTGCCAGGAAGACTTCTTCAGCCCATGCACAGATGGACTGCACTGCGGTTGCTCTTCTCCATATTCCCGGATGGAATGGTTTTCTCCTCTCTGGGGGCTTCCCCATTTATCAAAAGGTGGAAGGGAAGTGTTTCCTTGCTACTTTAGGAGTAAAGTAGTGGTGAAATGTGGATAAGGATGTAGGCAAAGGGGGCCGAGGCAGCTGTTGTACGTGCTCTTGTGCACCGCAGGGAAAGGGAAGAAAGGCAGCCTATATGTGTTCTTACAGCCTCTGCTAGAGATCTGGAAATGGGAAACAGATGACTCTTACAGGCCTGTCTCTGAAAACTGTCCTGAAGCAAACAGATCAATGTAGATTTCACAAAGTGGCCCTACTCCCGAAAATGGGGCCTTCTGCAGAGACCTTTCTCGCAAATTTCTCCTGAACAGATCTCTAGTCTGAGTCTAAAAGTGTAATACCGAGGGAGTACAAGCTATTTCCTCAAACTTACCTATGAAGTCTCTGTATAACTGGAAAAATCTCTTCTGTCTCATGTGAGGCCATGTTAGAGAGTTGGTTAGTATTTCTCATAACGAGACATTAATGGTCTGGTAGCACTTTATAGTCTAACAAAACATGTAGGTGGTATCATGAGCTTTTGTGGGCACAGCTCACTTCAGATGTGGGCTGTGCCCACGAAAGCTCATGATACCACCTACATGTTTTGTTAGACTATAAAGTGCTACCAGACCATTCGCTTGCTGTGTTTTTCTGTAACAGACTAACTCGGCTACCCCCTGAAGCTCCTAGACATTAATGGACTCTTTTTCCCCTTTCAGCCAATTTCTTCGTCAGTGCAATGCGAATGGTAAGTATCCATTGCTTGTATTTAACACTTCAGACTAGTTCCTTAGTTTCACTGCCTTCCTGTAGAGTTGCCTCTGGGTATTCCAAATCTACTGCACAGACTAGTTCTAACTATTTGCCTTCCTTGCTCATTCAGTTCTACCAACCTTGGCTCCCCCGAGTAATCTTTCATTTCCTCACTGCTTCATTTGTACCTCCCATTCTGAAATGCTCCTCTTCTCTTGTCAGCCACTGAATCAGTAACCCATCTGCCTCTGGGCCACAATCCAAGCAGCTTTCACCATGCAGCATAGATAAAGGGATACATTTTTGGAGGGAGTGGGGATGGTGTTTCTCTGCCCCACCGTATGTTTTCTGATAACTTCAATGCTGTTCAAAACATCCTCTAGTCTAACTCAAGGTTTTCAAACTCGGTTGCAGCTTAAGGGCAAGCCAATTGAGGGCTGCGATATGCTTTGCTTACATGTGCCTCCCCAGGTACTGATGATCATAGCTCCTGTTAGCCACTGATCCCTGTTCCCAGCCAATAGGAACTGCAAGAAGTTGTGTCCCAGTCCACACCTCTTCCCGCAGCTCCCATTGGCTGGGAGAGATCCATGGCTGATGGGAACTGCCATCATCCATATCTGCAGAGATGCAGGTAAGCAAAGTGTCTCTTGCCCTTAAAAGCCACAACCCAGAGTTTGAAAACCCCTGCTTTAACTTGCCCTTAAGTGAAGCCAGCCAGAGTGATTCTTTGTCTTAGCCCAAGGAAACTGTTAACCCATCAACTCCACCGAATTGCTTCTTCACATCTTGTCTTTCAACTTTCCTTTCACTGTATGATGATTGACTCTGTAAATAGCTATGCTGCCATGCATAGAAGGACATAATAGAAGTGTTATGTCTGAGCAATTTAAATGTGCATTTGTTTATTGCAGTGCCTCAATCTTAAAGATGTTGAGCTTGCGTACAGATTGCATAAAGTAATGGAGACAGGTGACAATTGGAAACTGATAGGAGATGCACAGCATCTATCTCTCTATTGGTAAGTTTGGTGCAGTTCTGTCCTTGTTTTATTAGACATAAAACAATTTGCAATACACCTGCAGTTGAAAACTGAACTATTCTTTATGCAGAAGGAGACTTTGTTGAACACTTGCCACCATATGGACAACTTTAAGTCTGCCCTTCGGAGGAGTAGGGATAACTCACTTGTGGCTCTCCTAACAGTAAAATAAAAGCTCTTTATACAAGAAGCTGTTTAAGATTCATAACTGCAGGCAGACTAAATGTGTAGAATACATAATTTTGAAAGGCCATCCGATTCAGTGTGTTGATGGCCCCACTTGCATTATAGGACACTTAGTTCTGTTTTTTACACAGCACATTTTCTTGGCCAGAATAGAAGAAGCTTAAAGTCTCTTGGGGTATGTCTACACTGCCACCCGAGTTCAAACTAAGATGGCTAATGTAGGTATTCGAACTTGCAAATGAAGCCTGGGATTTAAATATCCCGGGCTTCATTTGCATGTTCCCGGGTGGGCGCCATTTTTAAATGCCCGTAGTTCAAGCTACCTGCCCGCAGCTACACACGGCACGGACTAGGTAGTTCGAATTAAAGCTCCTAATTCGAACTACAGGCAGTCCCCGACTTACGCGGATCCGACTTATGTCGTTTGCCTGGGAGCAAAGCCGCCCGGGCGGCGG